CATCGAGGCCGCCAATAGCGAGCACGTCGTTTCTCTCAACAGATGCATTCAATGTGGACAATTTTTGAAGGGACGCTTGAACAACTCTTGGAAAACTCTTCTACAGCTTTAAGAAAAACATTTGGATCCCGAAAAAAAGGAGCCCCATGGTGGTGTCTGCTGAGTATTTATTGTTTGTGAAGTCCATTAGAGTGTAGAGAGTTTAATTTAGAGTTAGTATTGTGAGGAATTCTTTGAGAGATTGTAAGAGTGGAAGGAAAGTGAAAGATTTCTTCCTCCTTGCCGCTTCGAAGAATAATTCTGTGTGCAGTAAAGAAAGGAAGAGATTCAGAAGAGATTCAGAGGAACTTCGAGGAGTTTGCTTGGGGAGGAATTAAAGATAAGTGGTATTTACTTATTAAAGTTTGTTTGACTTCGCTTTTATATATAAATTCCAAGTTTGGTCGTATCTTCTCCATGAATTCTGAGTAGTTTTCTGTGTTTTTCTCCTTGTCTTGAGATTTTGTGAAATGGTGATTTGAATTGGTTGAGCCATGAGAATGTTAAAGAAGTTGTGATGAACTTTTCACTTAGATCTTAATTTACTTTCAATCTGGCCAATTGATTTCTTAAAATATGTTGAGTTTTACAACTAAAGTGAAGATTACATCCAAGATTTAGGGAGGTCAAAGTCCTTGAATGTTGGGTGCAAATAAATAAGGAAATAAAATTATCGGGCGTAGAATTGGTGATTTTAGAGTGACAGATTAAAATCCTCAATTACGTCCTATCGTTTGGGTGCTGAAGTGTAGATGTTAGCCCTCAGGTGAGGGGAACATGGGAGCTCTGAAGTGAGAGCTGGTATCCTCCCAGCCTTGTCGCAGATTCAGTAACCAAGCATATGATTAGTCAATCTTCTTTATGCCTATACCAAAGGGTAAAGAATAGTTATGCTCTTATTTGACACAATCTAATTTGAACTAATTCATTTTATCCATTCACTTTAATTTCTTGACAAGGAAAAAGATGCTTTCTTATATATTGAACTTCACTTTAGAAACTTTATTAGTAGACTTAGTTAATTAAGAGTTTGTTAAAATTACATATTTATTTCAATTGCCTTTTAGTGACAAATAAGCAATTTGAACTATATTTTTGTGATTAAGTATTGATTTTTTATATCTTAGTTCGTAGCTCTAATATTACTCCTTGTGTGATCGATATCTAGGACTCCATTAGAGCCCTATATTACTTGAGCGATACGTATACTTGGATTGATAAGTGTGACTTTGCAATTATTGAATATTTTACACACATTTTTATCAAATCTATAATCGTTGTCAAATTTTTGGCACTGTTGCCGGGGAATTAAATCTCCTAGCAGTAGTATCAAATTCTTGTATTTTTAAGCATATATAAAGTCGTTGTCAATGAGCAATTATAAAACAATTGGAAGAGTAAAATGAGCAAAAAAAAGTCTAATAAAAGAATGAAATCAGGCCATAAAGTTCATGGAAAAAAAAATTAAGCAAGTAAATGAACACCTCAACCCCTATTTATATGGATCCCTCAGAAGTGGAAATGTCACATGAGGATTTTGAGAGGAAATATCATGTCAACAAAAGAATCAAGACTGGAAGCAAAAATTAAATTTTTTTATTCAAAAAGAAGATAAATTCATTCGTATTCCATTATAATAGAACATATTTAACAAACTGATCCTCATCCTTCTTAGCCAAGTCAAAACTCGTCCAAACCAGCCTCCTCTATAAAATCTGATCAAAGGGCTTGAATTGGTTTGCTAAGTCAGCCTCAGTTTGGGTCCTCAATACAAAGCCATCTTCCTAGAGTTTAGATACTTTCTAGTGAAGAATAGTTGCCTCCCTGCGAATCTCCTTCAGCACCACATGAAGATCCTCCTCTAATCGAGCTAAGGTAATTTCCAGTTCATCTAAGGGACAAGTAAGGGTTGTTGGGGACATCCATTATCTCTCATTCATTTCCTCTCAGATCTCCACAAGATCGGCCAAGCGGTTGACCACGTTCTCATCTTTCTTGGTCGATGGTTGAGGCAAAAGGTCCTCCAACATAGTTCGATTTCTTCCTTCACCAAAAATCAACAAGCCCCCAATCCAACCTTTCTTCTCTACAAACAATAAAATTGGATGAGCAAATAAAAAAAAATTCAAGTAAAAAAGAAAATTTATTAAAACACATACATAGTTTTTGGTTCACCTTAGACCAAGTAACATTCAATAATGGACTAGTCATAGGCTAGTCCCTACTCATGGACTAGTTGAACACTTTTGCCAACGCCTTATGCAACAGTTGCTAAGGGAACGATTTTCATTCTTAATTCATTTTAAACTTCAAAAGAACCTTTATTTGACGATCAAGCCGTCAAACCATCATGCTTCTTCCCAACACTTGGTTGAACCTTCTTTGGAGCCCACGTGATTGAGTCTAACGACACTCTATATCCAATCGTTTAGAGGGCTTTACCTTCTTGGCCAATTTTCTCTACTATTTTTTCTTCGTGTTGCCTTCTCGCTGGCGTAGCTTTCTCACTCCAATGGAAGTCATCATTTTTGCCTGATAGATAGGTTTGAATGTTGAACCGGATCCCTTTTCCATCAGAACTTCATAAAACTGAGCGAATGTAAGGTAATACAAACTCTAATGGATAGAATCACCTGATTAGCTCAATATCTAAGGGTCATAGAGACAAAAATTATAGGAGTCAAATTATTTCATTAAATTATCACTATTATGATTCTATTAATACATTAAAAATTTTCTTGAATTTATTGCAGTTGTTGCAATTTAGGAGCAAAAAGGATTGAGAAACTTAATTTGTACACCGAAAAAGGATCTACTTGAATCTCAAGACAATATAGCCATCTATATCAGATGGGTTAAAATGAAGATAACCACTTGACAAAAAATTGAAGTACTTATGAAGCCGACCAACTAAAGAAATACCAATTGATCGACATCTAGCCTACCAAAAGGTTCACGACCAGTAGGGGCAGGCAACCGTGTCAATAAATGGACCAATGTCTAATACCCCCAACATTCTCAAAAGTACCAACATGAGGCTCTCTCAATAAATCTCCCAAAGACCTCAAAAAATCACAAAGGAACTATAATCAAACAAGTTAACTTGTCACGCTAAGGCAGATAGACCAAGCTACGACTACTACTCTCAAGTCCAAACAACTTCCCAGAGGGAAGACCAACTGACACCAAATAGCTAACTGATGTCATATTGGTCGACCGACCCAAGGACCTGCTAAACAGAAAGTCCATGCTAGATGAAAAGGTACCAGCGTCAGTAACAAATACGAAAAAGAATGATAAAAGGCAATAATATCCTATAAAGCCCATATTAACGAGGGAGCAATTATGTAATTTCTGACATCTTGGTCTGCTGTCTTTATAAATAGAGGGTCCATAACATCTATTAGGGATTTTTTGGCTCTTATCTTTATACCCATTGTCTTCATGAAGAAGTCTCTCCCCCTTCCTCTGGTAACCCTCACTTTCAATATATGAAATGAGTCACAGAGCTAGGGAAATCCTAAGTTTGGCTTTAAAAGGCAAGTTTGTGTGTGCTCTTTTATTTCTCTCTTCTTCTTCCTCTCTCTCTACTTCTTCCTCAAGGTTTTGACCACTCCGATTCTTGGACATGCCTCAGAGGACGAACTAGGATTCAACACCATCGTACAAATATGAATCAACCTTGTTATAATGCTTTATTTATGTTATCGATATAACATTTTTTCTTTGATGTGAATATAAGAAATAATTATAAGTAAATGGGGGCATTTACATATATAGCACACAATTCTTATTTATTTTCATATCCCACATCTAAACTTTCATATTTGCATACATAACACTCAAATCTTTAATATCACATTCAAAATTAGCAATACTACTATTTTTTAATAGGGTAATACATCTTTTTAGGAAAAAATTTAAAACACAATAATAACACATATATGTATGTATGTACGTATAGAGAGATATATATGTGTTTGTAGAATATAAAGAGTCACAAATTAGAGAATTACAAATATGACCCCTGCCTTAATGAGGGGGTGATAAGATATTATTGCCTTTTTGTTGATGCTTTTGGTATTTGCAACTGATTTACCTATCTTTTGATATTCATGAACCCTTAAGTCGGTATTTCCTTGTGTCGGTCGACCAAGCTCGGCTATATTGCTTGAGGGCCCGTTTGGGGGCAGCTTTTAAGTGCGGTGGCATTTATTAAAATGTCGTTGTACCGTTTGGATCACACGTTTTGCCCGTTTATCCGAAACACGGTTCCATTTTTACACAAACACAAGCCAGCCGCGGGTCAAATCCTACGGTCGACCCGCTGGACATGTTTCAAAATAAACTGCTTATCCTGAAACCCACAAGCTGCCCCAAACGCACCCTGAATGTCGAGTGGCCTTCGCTCAGGGAAGCCAACCAGCTTTTTGTGTGGTACCCGGTTGGCCCTACCATGACCGGTCGACTAGATTGTTTCCTAATGATCTTTACGCGAAGTGTTGAAAATGCAGTGATATTTTTGAGGTTGTGGGGATATCAGACATTGGCTTAATTGTGGGATTGTCTGCTTTTAGCAGGCCTAGATATGTCTTCAGTTGGTTGATCTTAGGATGGATGATGGGCTATGGGTTCTCTCAGGCAATTTTATTTTTAGATGTATAGTATGTAAAGTTTTCTAAATAAAAATGTAAGGGAATAAATCTAGCATATTTGTTCGACTTTTATCAACTTATATTTAAACAAAAAAAATTATAATTCCTATTCTGCGGTACGATGCAACCTAATTACACTCCGATGTCTCGACCAAAAAATAAAAGTTAGTTCAAAGGAAGAATAAAAAATCATTCAGATGCGAACACTTACAAATCATAAATGTCAGATTAATTTATTCCAATTCAGAATATCCTGAATTTATTTTTCTCAAACAAATAAAAATAAAATGTAAATATAAAAAGCTAAAACACCAACCCTCTAACACACCTGGGAAAACGCTTCGTATATACATCCAAATTAGGCAAACCTTGGGCCAAAATAAAAACTGGAAAGGATAAAGAAATGAAGCACCATTTCCTTCCTCCCAACCATCAAACTGAAAAAGAAACGGAGTGGAACAGTCACTCGAATTAGCTTCAAAGCTCTATTTCTATCCACAGAACTCGAACTCCAACAACCACAACCGCAGTGAGAAATAAACAAATTGCTAAAAAATATTCTCTCCTATCTCTATTAACAGAGCATAGAATCCCTCCACACTAGTTTCTTACTTCAACAGATCCAAAACCCATCCAAAATCCGGCGATTCCCTCCCGTCGTTCATAACCACCTCCGTCTTCCTTTCTATCCTTCTCATCTCCGGCTCCTCTGTTTTCTCCAACCGCACACGTTGTGACGAGGAAGCCATCTCATTTATCCAAGATTTTGAGCTCGATTCCTGGTTGGGCGGCAGTCGGAGCTGCTCCGGTGTGTGCGCAAAGAAGCAAACACGTCGACGGCAAGCTCTTCCGTCCTTGCACGACTGAGTTCTATATTTTGAAGGATGAAGCCAACTCTCAAACACCCCGTGTGCATACTCGCAGGCGTCTCCCTTCTTGCAATATCCCATGCGGAAGTCAGGACAAGAAATACCTGAGTATTGAAATTTCCTGGGATCCCTTCGCCGGGCTTTCTCGCCAGGATGAGCGAATGGGCACTCAGTCCAATCATGCGACCTTCCCCTTGTACATAGCTTTACCTTGAACTGGTAAATCCGAAAGGAATCACACGAGTAAGGGTCTAAATGTGGATTAGCGAGATCCACCGCTTTAGAATCTGAATTAGATGGAAGGTATCGAAGTTCCATGAATAGCTTCAGCTCCCCCAAAGTGTACGGCGATAGCTCGCCGTCGCCGCCTACTAAGGCGATGCCGCTGACTGGTAAGGAATAGGGGCTTAACAATACTTCTGATTCGTCCACGTTCGGCCATGGCGGAACATGGACGGTCGGATGGCACCGTGTTCTTCTGTCCAACATTCGTGTGGATGATGGGGCTTTTGCACGGAGGGTGAGGGTGCTTTATAGACACCCGTCCCGTCCTGGTGCAATAAATATGTGCATGCGGAGGACTTTGTCAGATTCTGAATGAATACTAGAAACTAAAAGCCGTGGGCTATTATTATTATTATTATTATTATTATTATCAATTTAGTTTAATGTATTTAAGATTTAATATACCTAGAAATAACATAAATATAAAAAAAAACTTTTTATGTAAGAAATTGTCATTATGAATCTCAAAGAAATCAGACGATTAAGGATGTGGTCAGACAATCGAAACATCCAATTTAATGAACATGGTCCGCATCAGCTAGCCGAAGATCGACTGTTCGATCGAGTCGGCCGATACGCAATGCTGACATCCAGTCGACAAAACAGACCCACGGTTCTAGCTACCTTCACTTCCTGCAAGGAGGTCTGATCACCACTGACCTGCCGACTAGCTTTACCTCGGCAAGAGCAATATGCCGACCAATTGATAGTGTCATGTTCAATTCAAATTTTAATGCTAATTTAGCACTAAATCAACACATTAACCTCATTAAAGGTGGTTTCCATAATCTTTCTCTCCTTTCCGTAATTGAGGACAATTTTCATAATTGCTTTCTCCTTTCTATAATTATACAAAATATCCTCATATACATAAGATGCTTGACAATGTTAAATGAACTTTTTTCCTCGACCTCTTTGCTGAGAATTTTTGGATGCTTTCTACTCTCTCCCTCACCTTCTTACGACTCTAACTCTCGAGGCATGTATTTTCAAAAGACGATTCTAGATTCAACTTCCTAAAAGGTGGTACGGTGAGCGTGGACATGTTCTAGAGGAGAAGCTTAGCCAGCTACGAAAGAGAATAGATGTAGAGAAAAATAATATAATTTAGAAAAATATGAAATCAAACCGATCCAATATCTTTTATAGCTTAGATGAAAGATCACTACACCTCAAGCTATGTATCTATCTCAAAAGATAAACACATAACTTCATAGTGAGACTCAATCAAATAAACTAAGAAATGTATGACTTCTGTTTTGTCTTCGAAACCATTTCTATTATAAGTCGATCAGTTCGCCTATTTAATATGAAAAATTAAATTGAGTTTATATTAAGCTCAGTTTGGAAAAGCTTCCTATATGGGCAAGCCCCTGTAGTTAATTATATCTTAGATAACCGAAGTCACTTAAGAGAAGTCACTTATCACTTAAGAAAACTCTCGATAAAAATCAGGAGATATTATTTTTCAAGAAGTTCGATGGAATAGGCCTTTTCAAAGAGATTGAACAGAGAGGTGTGAAAGAGGAATGACTCAAATTTCGATCCTTTATTTTTATAATCCAAAGAAAGAAAGACCAGAGGATGTCATAAAAAAAAACCTTTTTATGTAAGAAATTATCATTATGAATCTCAAAGAAATCAGTCGATTAAGGATGTGGTCAGACAATCGAAACATCTAGTTTAATGAACATGGTCCGCATCAGCTAACCGAAGATCGACTGTTCGATCAAGTCGGTCGACACGCAATGCTGACATCCAGTCGACAAACCAGACCCACGGTTCTAGCTACCTTCACTTCCTGCAAGGAGGTCCGATCAGAACTAACCTGCCGACTAGCTTTACCTCGGCAAGAGCAATCGTCATGCCACCAATCAGCCAATCTACCAAACTCAATATGCCAACCAATTGATAGTGTCATGTTCAATTCAAATTTTAATGCTAATTTAGCACTAAATCAACACATTAACCTCATTAAAGGTGGTTTCCATAATCTTTCTCTCCTTTCCGTAATTGAGGACAATTTTCATAATTGCTTTCTCCTTTCTATAATTATACAAAATATCCTCATATAAATAGGATGCTTGACAATTTTAAATGAACTTTTTCCTCGGCCTCTTTGCTGAGAATTTTCGGATGCTTTCTACTCTCTCCCTCACCTTCTTACGACTCTAACTCTCGAGGCATGTATTTTCAAAAGACGATTCTAGATTCAACTTCCTGAAAGGTGGTACCGTGAGCGTGGACATGCTCTAGAGGAGAAGCTTAGCCAACTACGAAAGAGAATAGATGTAGAGAAAAATAACACCAATGGAATTCTGTCGGCACTATTTCTTAAAGGTGCCTTGAGGAAGCTGGCAGTTGCTGGAATGGAAGTCTCGAATCCCGCTTCGGAAGGGACATTTAATTTATATATATATATATATAGTTTAGAAAAATATTAAATCAAACCGATCCAATATCTTTCATAGCTTAGATGAAAGATCACTACACCTCAAGCTATGTATCTATCTTAAAAGATAAACACATAACTTGATAGTGGGGCTCAATCAAATAAACTAAGAAATGTATGACTTCTGTTTGGTCAGCGAAACCATTTTTATTATAAGTCTATCAGTTCGCCTATTTAATATGAAAAATTAAATAGAGTTTATATTAAGCTGAGTTTGGAAAAGCTTCCTATATGGGCAAGCCCCTGTAGTTAATTATATCTTAGATAACCAAAGTCACTTAAAAAAACTTTCGATAAAAATCAGGGGATATTATCTTCAAGAAGTTCGATGGAATAGGACTTTTCAAAGAGACTGAACAAAGAGGTGTCAAAGGGGAATAACTCAAATTTGGAACATTTATTTTTAGAATCCAAAGGAAGAAAGACTAGGGTATGTCATAAAAAAAACCTTTTTATGTAAGAAATTGTCATTATGAATCTCAAAGAAATTTGATGATTAAGGATGTGGTCAGACAATCGAAACATCCAATTTAATGAACATGGTCCGCATCCGCTCGCCGAAGACGCTAGCCGAAGATTGACTGTTCGATCGAGTCGGCCGACACGCAATGCTGACATCCAGTCGATAAACCAGACCTACGGCTCTAGCTACCTTCACTTCCTGCAAGGAGGTCCGATCACCACTGACCTGCTGACTAGCTTTACCTCGGCAAGAGCGATCGTCATGCGACCGATCGGCCAATCTACCAAACTCAATTTGCCGACCAATTGATAGTGTCATGTTCAATTCAAATTTTAATGCTAATTTTGCACTAAATCGACACATTAACCTCATTAAGGGTGGTTTCCATAATCTTTCTCTACTTTCAGTAGTTGAAAGCAATTTTCACAATTGCTTTCTCCTTTCTATAATTATACAAAATATCCTCATATAAATAGGATGCTTGACAATTTTAAATGAACTTTTTCCTCGGCCTCTTTGCTGAGAATTTTCGGATGCTTTCTACTCCCTCCCTCACCTTCTTACGACTCTAACTCTCGAGGCATGTATTTTCAAAAGACAATTTTAGATTCAACTAATTGAAAGGTGGTACGGTGAGCGTGGACATGCTCTAGAGGAGAAGCTTAGCCAACTACGAAAGAGAATAGATGTAGAGAAAAATAACACCATTGGAATTCCGTCGGCACTATTTCTTGGGGGTGTCTTGAAGAAGCTGGCAGTTGCTGGAATGGAAGTCCCGAAGCCCGCTTCGGAAGGGACATTTAATTTATATATATATATATATATAAAACTTAAAAAAATATGAAATCAAACCGATCCAATATCTTTCATAGCTTAGATGAAAGATCACTACACCTCAAGCTATGTATCTATCTCAAAAGATAAACACATAACTTGATAGTGAGGCTCAATCAAATAAACTAAGAAATGTATGACTTCTGTTTGGTCTGCGAAACTATTTTTATTATAAGTCGATCAGTTCGTCTATTTAATATGAAAAATTAAATAGAGTTTATATTAAGCTGAGTTTGGAAAAGCTTCCGATATGGGTAAGCCCCTGTAGTTAATTATATCTTAGATAACCAAAGTCACTTAAGAAAACTCTCGATAAAAATCAGGGGATATTATCTTCAAGAAGTTCGATGGAATAGGACTTTTCAAAGAGATTGAACAAAGATGTGTAAAAGGGGAATGACTCAAATTTCAAACATTTATTTTTAGAATCCAAAGGAAGAAAGTCTAGGGGATGTCATAAAAAAAAACCTTTTTATGTAAGAAGTTGTCATTATGAATCTCAAAGAAATCATATGATTAAGGATGTTGTCAGACAATCGAAACATCCAATTTAATGAACATGGTCCACATCAGCTAGCCGAAGATCAACTGTTCGATCGAGTCGGCCGACACACAATGTTGAAATCCAATCGACAAATCAGACCCACGGTTCTGGCTACCTTCACTTCCTGCAAGGAGGTCCGATCACCACTTACCTGCCGACTAGCTTTACCTCGATAAGAGCGATCGTCATGCGACTGATCGGCCAATCTACCAAACTCAATATGCCGACCAATTGATAGTGTCATGTTCAATTCCAATTTTAATGCTAATTTAGCACTAAATCAACACATTAACCTCATTAAGGGTGGTTTCCATAAACTTTCTCTCCTTTCATTAATTGACAGCAGTTTTCATAATTGCTTTCTCCTTTCTTTAATTATAGAAAATATCCTCATATAAATAGAACGCTTGACAATTTTAAATGAACTTTTTCCTCAGCCTCTTTGCTAAAAATTTTCGGATGCTTTCTACTCTCTCCCTCACCTTCTTACGACTCTAACTCTCGAGGCATGTATTTTCAAAAGACGATTCTAGATTCAACTTCCTAAAAGGTGGTACGGTGAGCGTGGACATGTTCTAGAGGAGAAGCTTAGCCACCTACGAAGGAGAATAGATGTAGAGAAAAATAACACCAATAGAATTCTGTCGGCACTATTTCTTAGGGGTGTCTTGAGGAAGCTGGCGGTTGCCAGAATGGAAGTCTCGGAGCCCACTTCAGAAGGGACATTTAATATATATATATATATTAGTTTAAAAAAATATGAAATCAAATCAACCCATATTTTTCATAATTTAAATGAAAAAGCACCACACCTTAAGCTATGCATCCATCTTGAAAGATAGAATTAACACATAACTTGACAGTGAGACTCAATCAAATCAACTAAGAAATGCATGAGTTCTGTTTGGTCTACGAAACCATTTTTATTTTAAGTCGATTAGTTCGCCTATTTAATATGAAAAATTAAATAGAGTGTATATTAAGCTAAGTTTGAAAAA